GCCTCGGCCGGAGATGAATCGGCACGATTCGCTGTTGCGTTCCAATTAACTGAGCTGCTCCTAAGGTGGCGTATAGAGTTACTAACAAAGCCTACACAGATAACACATGCGCTGAAGGGCCTCTCGTAAAGTGAAGGGCCAGTTGGTATGTACATACATTCAAACAAGTACATATACTTACTCACTTACCTTATTCATATGCAATGAATAAACATAGTAGTAGTAGTAGTAGTAGTATTATATGTACTTGGTTGGTATATGTATGTACATATCAACTGGCCATCGACCTTGCGGGAGGCCCATCAGCTGATTAGTGTTCTGTAGGCTTTGTTACTATGCGCTGTCCTAAAAATTTAATTTTTCAGTTGAAACTGAAATATAAGCATACTCTATTTGGCACAGTGCAGGCTAGATTATAGTTGAATAATTTAATGATGTCATATAATGGGTAGACTATTGTTATGACGTAGGTAAAAACATAATACGAATTGACGAAATTTGGTCATAAATTATTAGAATACAAATAATTGACCTCAAATGCATGCTTGTGGTTTTGTTTTGAATTTAAAATTTCATCGATTTTCGAAAATGGTTCATATACAGGGTGTTAACAAATAAGTGTCACAACGGAGAACTGTAGATTGCTCATGAAAAATGATACACATTTTTCCCTATCGAAATTTTTCTCCGGGCTTCTGTTATCAAGATACAGGGCGTCAAAAAAATACAAAAAAATCTGTTTTTTGCTAATATCTCAGGAACCGTCGGAGCTACGGAGTTAAGCTTTCGTACACACTTCATCATCAATAATGACTACTTTTAGGGTTCTTGATCAATTTCCTTGGACATGTCAGTGGGGGAGAATTCAACGCCTCGTAAGGGTTTAACCCCCAAACATTTATGCCACTAGAGAAATTGAAATTTACAAAGTAGATTCTGAAGCGCCAATATCTTTCACACAAAAAAAGTCCTCTTGTCTCAATGCTCAAAAGTGAACAGTTTCCGCGAAAAATGGCTCTTTATGAATAAGAACATACAAAATCCTGATGGTATCTCCAAAAATCGTCTAAAAATCCACTGGAAATAAACATCTCAGAACTGTAATAATATGTTCAATCAAATGTCAGGTTCTTGAGTATGCTGGTCTCGATCCTGGTTTTCGAATTGTCAAGTTTATTTAGTGTTGTAAAGTGTATTTGATTAAACTGAACATTTTTTATTTTTTGACGCCCTGTATCTTGAAAAAGGAAGCCCGGAGAAAAATTTTGAGGAGAAAAGAAATGTTTCTTTTATTATGAGGAATCTAGAGTTTTCCGTTGTGACACTTATTTGTTAACACCCTGTATAGTGAATTATTGGAACAAGGTTGAACATTTTCAATTCAAAATAAAAATATATAAAACATTCATTATTTTTGGAACAGAATGATAGATTTTTCGTGATTGATTGTCTTTATTACCCCAAGAAAAGTTATTGGTTATAATAGGGATATAAACAACAAAATATACATATAACATAATAAATCGAAACAATAATAATTGCATTCATAAATAAAAATTAAATAGATTATAAAATGAGAATATTATAATACATTTCAAGTAATCAAATTGATAATGATTAGTTGATATGGAATTAAAGTTTACTGAGCAGATATTTATTTAAATTGATTTCAAATTTGTCTCCTTCTCCTATATTCTTCAACTCATTAGGTAAGGAATAAAACAACAAATTTTGACTTTATATAACTAGATTCAGCAAGTCTTCAGGTTTGTATGAATTTACAGTTGATTCTAAAAAAGGAAAATTGAAAATGCACTTTATAGTTTTATTTTGTTATTTCAAACTTCAAACGTGAAATATCTGTACTTGCTCAAATAGATATTAGATATTGTAAATTTGAATATAAAAAAGAAATTAATACTCTTCAGGAATCCAACAGGAGCGAAATTTCGAATTTTATATATAATAATATAGAATTCAATGTTTTCCTCAAATGATCTATATGTTAGAGTCCACGATAATTTTTCATCAATATAAAGACCTAACACTTTTGTTACATTTGTATTTTCAATGGATTTTTTATTGAAACATATTGGGGTATTATTGGCCATAGGCCATAGGCCATTTTTTTCAAGATCATTTATTTTCAAGATAATTTATTAGACGGATATTCATAATTTTCTCTAAAATTTTGGAAAAGATTGGAAGAACAGAAATTGGTTTATAATTATTAAAATCAACTTTCTTCCCATTTTTGTGAATTGGTAATACTTCAGCAATTTCATTTTGTCAGGAATTATACCAGTTTTGAGAGATTTGGAAATTATGTTCAACAAAATAGGAGCTAACTCAAATTTGATTACTTTCACAATCTTAACAGTAATATAATCAAATCCGCAGCATTTTCGATCATCCAGATTATCAATGATATTCTCAATTTCTGAAATATTCGTTGGAATAAGTAACATAGATAGAACACTTGAGCAATCTTTCACATTGTTAGAAATTGTAGTAATTTTTGACGATAAATTTTGACCTACATTGATGAAATGATTATCGATTTTATTACTCATTTCCTGGAAGTCGTTAATTTTTACATTATTCACAGTAATACATTTGATATTTTCTGTTTTGTTCTTCGTTTTGTTGTATAAGATTGAGTTTATACCATTCCATACTGATTTTGAGGTACTATTAAAAAAAGTATCATCATGAAATTCTTATTTTGTTTCACGTATTCTTTTATTCACTAATTTAATATAGAAATTATATTACTCTTCAAAATATTCAATATTGGAATAGATTTTTTTTATAATGAAATTTGTCCCGTAATTTGATCAATTTAAACCTAAAGTTGAATAGTACTATTGAACCATGGCTTTGAATCACATTTTAATTTAACCATTTTCGAAACAGTACAATAATGAAAAGTATCCAGTAGTTTTCCATATGCCTCATCAAGATTATTATAACTATGGATATTATCATTGAGTATTTTCAATTCAGATTCTAATTTTTCGATGTCATATGAATTGGTGATACAATAATCTAGCAGTGAAGAACTCCTAGTTGGAATAGATTCATTACAGTTTCTGAAATTACTAGATTTGTAAATGTCTACAAACTCTTTGGACTTATCACTATTCGATAAAAAAAAATTATATTGATATCACCAAAGAAAAAACATTTCCATTTGAATCTATTGGTTGCATCAAGTCTCCTATCCATGAATTCGAAAAAATGATGAATATTTACGTCTTGTGGTCGATAAACGCCACAAAGTATCATATCTGGGGATTGGATTTTGATAGCCAAATACGTAAAAGTTGTTTCTTCTCTTTGAATTATGTCAAAATCCAAACTCTCATGAATGAAAATCCCAACACCACCCCCTGGTTTTTGACGACTTGCGTATACTGCATTGTAGTTTTTAAAGTTGAAATATATCTCTTTTTCCTGATTAGACCATGTTTCAGTTACGATGACAGCTGCAATATTCATTTTACTTATGATGATAATTTCCAGTTCTTCCATTTCATTTCTTATTGATCTTGAATTCAGATATAACATTTTTGTTCTGTTATTGGCATCTTTTTTCAAATCGTCGATAGAGCTCAATTCGGTTAACTTAATAGTGGAGTTGTTACTCATATTTTTATATTAATTTTATTTCAATTGACATAGTCAATTTGTGATTCTCGTTTGTTTTGATGAACTTTGAGGGTTGGGCACTTTTCATCTGTAGCTGTATGATTCACAGAATAATCTTTTTTGTAGCGTTGGTTTGATATTATACAATTATTACATTTCAATGGCTCATTGTTCATAGCATTTATTGCAGTCGCTCACAATACAACAACAACAAAAAGTTTTCCATCGATATTTGCCATTATTCTTTCATATTTTTGGGTGTATGATAAATTGACATTCATCATACAAGGCGTGGAAATGAATTCTGAATTGAGACTCTATCACGAATCTGCGATTAGAGGTCTATAAAAATCACAAGTTTCCATCGTTCAATATATTGGTAAGTCATATTTCTAGATCATTATTCATCATATTATTCATCCGATTTGAAGAAGAATGTCAATTCTCAATTTCGGGGGATTTTATTCTTTATTTTTCATGTTTCCCTTTTGAATGTTCATCAGATATAATTCAATGTTCGACGTGGCAAATAGCCAGGAAAGTAGTTGTTTTCTGTTGAATATTCAGAATGATGTGTGTATATACATATTTTTGTCTGAAGGAGAATGCAAATTCTCAATTTCAGAAATTTTTATATTTTATTTTCAAACTCTTATCGTGTGTGTTCAATAGATATAATTCAATGTTCGTCGTGGCATATAGCCAGGAAAGTAGTTGTTTTCTATTGAATTAACTGAAAAAGAGTAAATATTCTCATCACATAGAGAATGCGAATTCTCAATGTATTGCTTTATATAAATATATATCCATTTTTGTATGTTCATATTTTATCTGAGGATATTCCTTTTCATTCTTTCATATAATTCGTTTTTTATCGAGAAATTTCAGGTACTCAATTTGTAAAGTGCCATCTTTGTTTATTATATTATTCTGTTCAATAATCATCTTCTGTAGTTCTTCCTTTGATGTATTTTGGTCTAATTTCAAATTTAGAATTTTAATTTTAGGCCTCATCAAGTTCTTTATTTCTGCATCATATTTGGATGGAAATTTCTCGATAATTTCCTTTTTAATTTTTTCAATATCCTGTTCATTCTTGCATTTTATTAATAAATTGCCATTACGCATTTCTTTCAAACAATGTACTGCAACTCTCAATTTGGTGATATTTACATTTTATTTCTAGATCATTTCTTGTTTTTTCTGCAGTTTGTTCATTTTTTGTTTTCAAAATCAGCGTCTGTTCATTTTGTTTAGGTTTACACAAACAATCATGTTTTTTATTCAGTCCCTCAGAATAACTTAGAGATTTACTCCCATACCGTTAAAATTTTCGATTTTTTTCTTTTATTTGACTCAAAGGTTCCATAATATCATTCGTATCATTTATATTAGACACTTTCAAGTTATAATTTCCATTTATTCTCTCATTGACTTCAGCTAAAAGTTTAATGTGATTATCATTTTCGAAGATTATCAAATCCTTCTGTCTAATGATTTCTTTCAAATGTTATTCTTTCTTCATGATCCCTCTTCTTACATTCTGTTTCATCTTAGATTGATAGTTCACCTGCGTGTAATGTATATTGGAATGTTCACAATCCTTCTCTTTACACTCATTTACATTTTTCTTTTTTCTTCTCATTTCTGGTATAATTTAGGTATGCATTATATATCTTGTTTTTGTTTGAAATGTTGTCTCAGCCTGCTCTCATGAAAGCTACTGAAATCGCATTCACTGCACTGGACAAGTTCGTTGTCACAAAGTGTAGCTTCATATGTGACCCAGATTGAACATTTCCTAATCACATCAGGACATTCGTTTGAGTACGTTTTTGCAATTTGTTGTTTTTTTCATGGTACCGAAGGTTATGCGTTCATTGTGTTTTATTTTGCAATGTTTCTGCAAGCTCGCCTGATATTTGGTGAAGAATTCGCACCTTTCGCACTTGTACAATATCGATCGAGAGTCGCTCATGTGCCTCAATACGTGTTTCCTAATATGTGGTTTGGATTTTGTTGAGTACGAGCAGTTGTGACAGTTGTAAACTTGGTTCTTATTGTGGGCGTGCTGATGCTTGAACAAATCCCGTTTGTATCTGGTTTTATAAGGACAGGAATGGCACTGGAGTAGTTGGTTTTTGTGCTTCGCGACATGTCTTTCGTAGTTTACCCATATGTTAGAAAGGAATGGGCAAACATAGCACTTGTAAAAGTCACCTTCTTTGTGTTTCAGCCGAGTATGTCGACGATATGCCATGACACTTTCGCAAAACTCGCCGCACATGGGACAGTGGATTTTTTTACCGTGGGTCTTCGAGTGTCTGGTTGTAAGACTTCTGTAGTTCCGACTGATGAACAAGCAATTTTCCTGCGGGCACTTGTAAAATTTGCCACGATCTTCTCGTATTCCGTTGATTTTTTGTCGTTTGGGCAAGTGTGACTTCAGGTGAGCCTTCATATCGAGCTTGAATTCGGTCTCATAGGCACATTTGTAGCAGTGAGTAGTTTTGGTTTCTGGCGAGAAACTGCACATTTTCGAAAGTAACTTCAATGCGCCCTCTAGATCAACAACTGATGATTCTCTGGAAAGAAAAATAGTTCCGTCATGATTGATCGAACATCTAACTCCGAAATATGATTCTTCAATATCAACAACGATAATGATACTATCTCGAACAGTAGAATTCTAGAGCACAATGACAACACTGCATTCAACCGATTTTTTCAATGCTCGATACTTGTTGCGCTAACTAAATTATTATCTTCAGAGGAAGCATAAAACTTGATCTGTCGATATTATAATATTCACAATGAATTGTTCATATTATAATATCTGATTGTGGAATATTCGGCGATTAACTGTTAATTGTTGTTAATTGTTAATCATGGTACAGTCATAGAGAATATTTGCGTAACAAACTACAAAGAAAAGCTATAATTATGAGAATCATTGCAGGACTGGGGTATGTAGATGACTGCCGTGAAGCATGTGGTGAGCTTGTAGACTGGCCGGTAGTGACAGATTTTTTCAAAACTCTCAATGAATAGTTTCCACGGGTTTTTAACATGTCCTAGACAAATATCAATTTGTGCCCGCATGCAGCGGCGTCACCAATCATATTTGAATTTTGCATTGAAAATTGATTTCGAACGATTAGTAAATGCATGTGTTTACAGTTTTTTCTTTATATAACCATCCCACCTCATGTGCCAATCGATATAGACACCTAGGTATTCCACAAATTCTTTGGAATTCAGAATGACATCACTGGAACATTGTTTTTCTATCTAGTTAAAATCTGGAAGAAGAGATAGGATTAACATGCAAAAGGTACGAACCAAGTTTTCTCAAATTTCATTGTTAGTTTTTTTCTGATTGCAATAGTCGATTACTTTTATCATATCATCTTCAACTTTCTTTTTCAGGTGTTCCCAGGAGTCGTCTCTATGTAAAATTGCTGTGTCGTCTGAAAAGCTCATTACGTCTCCGGAGATTCGTGTGGTGAGTATATTATTGATGTATATAATAAAGAATATTGGGCCTAAAACTGTCCCTCGAAGTACGCCATAATGCACTGTTCTTTCTTCACTAATAACTTTTTCAATTTCTACACTCTGTTTTCGGTTGGTTAGGTAGCTCTTGAACAGTTTTTGAACATTTCCTCTGAATATTAGATCTTGCAAATCTTTCAGAAGTTGTTCATGGTCAACAGTATCAGGGGCTTGTGCAAGATCGAGGAAAACGACAAGAGAATATTTTTTTTTCTATCTAGGCTGTCGTAGATTCACCCTCCATAAAACCAAATTGATTTTCCGATGAAAGTTCATTCTGGTTGAGGTAACTTTACTATTCTGATAACTAATTATTGCATCACCACTTTTGAACAGAGGTTTTATAATTCCAAGTTTGAGCGCTTTGGGCCATGTTCGATAATTTTATTGATTAGAAATGTGAGAGGTTCGGATAATTCATTACTAATTTTTTTAGTAGTTTTGCCCAAATCCCCTCAAATCCAGGAGCTTCATTACCTTCCAACTGGTGTATCATTCAGACAAATTCTTCTTGTGTTACAGGTGACAAAACATCGATGACTTAACTCGAGATCCTTTCAGAGGTTGAATTGAAACTGTACTGATTTTATCTGCGAGCTTCTCACCTAATGATGTGTAATGTTCATTGAATTTATTTGCTATTTCAAATCGATCAGTAATTATTATATCCTCATGTTGTATCTGGTTTATTGTTTTATATTTTTCATCAGATGATAACTTCTTCACAGTACCTATTTTGAATTGATTTGCTGCCCCCTTACCACTCCCTATCTTATTTTGTAGTATACAATGTCTTCATTTTTTATCAGTGTATTGACCAAATTTCTGTATGTCTGGTATTTATTTCTCAAGATCTCGTCGTTATTGATCTTTTTGTAGCGTTCAAGAAGTCCATTTTTGTGATTAAAACTTTTAACTAACTAAGTTATCAAATTCTTTCTTTTTACATTAGTATGTTCAATTTTATATGATTTTGAACAACTTTCCATGGTAAGATTCGAAAGAAAACGAACTCTGAAGAAAATCCCGAAATTCCCGATAATATCCTAGAGCAAGCGGCACAAGCGACCCCGAATTTATTACCATTGAAATCCAGGTCTAGTAGTTCCAAGTTTCTTCATTCCTACAACTGTGAAAATAAAAATGTTCCCAATTTCTTATGTGCCTTTTTCATGTAATATTTTCCTATATTTTCATTTTCATCCAAGTGTAATGAAAAATATCGTTCATTACTCGTCCAGAAATGATTTTTCCGTGCTTGCATGACTTCCCGTGTTCGGCTTGATTTGTCACACGCGCACGGAATAATCCCTATTTCCAGACTCCTAATGAAATATACTATTTTTATTTCATTATCTTTACCTGATTGTTTCATCAGTACCTCCAACAGGGTAGCAGAGTGATCTGTGACAATATATATTTCTAATACTCCAGACGACAAGGAAGCAAGCAAACATTTTTCTATTAGGATTGTGCGGAAAAGTACCTTTTCCGCATGATTTTTCGTTTTGAAAGTTATACTTTTCCGTACGATTTTACTTTTCCGCATTATTTCTACTTTTCCGCAAGATTTTGAAGTAAATACCAGGAAGCATGTGGTGATAACTGTTAGCAACAGAACTTACCCATAGCAACAGTCGCTATGAACTGACAGTAGTGCCAGTCAACAAATAAGCATTACAGACCAATCTACCTTCCTCCATTCACTACACTAGTAATTCTCAGCAACAAACTGATCAAGGTATTTCTGCAGTGGGCCGAACAATAACTAATCAAATTCAAATAGGAAACGACGTTCTTCAATATTGCACTATCAATTTCAATATTTACCATCGTTAATGTTTTAGTTATTGTTATTTGAATGTTCGTCAAATAAGTGTCCTATTATATCGATGAAAAAAAATCTATTTCAATATTTTTCAGCTCATGAAAATATCGTGTGGAAAAGTTACTTTACCGCACTAGTGCTGAAAAGTTACTTTTCCGCACGATTTTTGTATTGTTGAAAATAAGGATATTCAGAACTAACTTAATGATTCATGTAACTACTGTCTTATGCGTCATTTTTTAGCATCATTATAAAATATTGTTGATTCGAGACCTTTTTTTTCATAAATAATGTGGACAAAAACACTCGTAGAAAAAAACTTTGTACCTAACTCTTGCGGAAAATGTCTTTTCCGCCCTTGACGACAGATTCAAGAATCTTCTTCGAAAGCCCACATCAGAACAGTGATCTATAGATTCATCCAAACTGGAAACGTTAATAAAAAGAAATCAACAGGAAGGCCCCAAATATCGGAAGTTTTCGAAAATCTGAGGGCGCGTGTTGAGCAAAATCGCCGAACGTCATTGACATGCCATAAAGTGCTCGTGAAAAGATTACATATGCACCCTTACAAGACCATTGTACTACAGCAACTTCTGCCAATAGATATCCCACGTCGAGTACTGCCAATGGTTCCAAAATAATCTAAACGATGACCAGCTATTGGACCTTACATTTTACAGGCTTGGTTTCATTTGTCGGGATACGTGAACTCACAAAATTTTAGGTTTTGGAGATCTGAGAATCCCCACAATTAGTGCAGCGGAACACAGGGTAAAAGTTATCAAAAAAATTTTCGAGAGTAGAAAGATATCAGCCCCTCACTATCTTATCTAGAAACTATTGACTCATTAGAATCCAGATTGACTACTTTTTTCTATGGTACCGAAAAAAGTTATAAACGAACAAACACAAAAATTACAAAAATAAATCTACTTCGCACGTAAATGTATAAAACTTTGTAACTTGTAGACCACATAACTTAGATGCCTCAACTTCTCATCATTTTGTTGAGGACATTATGAAGATTCGATTCATGGTATATAAACTGCCCAAATGAGGTTTTTTATAAGTAAAAATAAATTTTTTGTCATGCATTACATGAATAATTTAGCATTAACACCCCTTCAATTGATAATAACTTTCTTTTTCACGATATGAATTCCAATTTTTTTCTTTCATCTAGATAGATTGAAGTGTAACAAACAATTTGTTTCGAATGAACTTTTCGCACGTTTCAAAAATAAACTTTTTATAGCGCTTTGAATGACAACGTGCAACTTTAGATAGGCTATGCACAGTGAGTGAGACAGAGTGCGATAGATACTGGTGCATGAGTGCGGAGCGAAGATGTAATAATATCAAGAGCTCCATCCACAGATATGATGAATATACTAGATTTATATCGATAAATTTACATATTTGCTTGCTTAGAATGTCAATTTTTATATAAAATATTGAATCTAACTGAAATTTATCACATATTCCCCTGAAAAACTAGTGAAAAGTTTGTTATCATGAATCTGAGACCCGATGATGCAACACAGTATCTGGAAGAAAATAACACGATTACCTATATGTACTGGAAGATTTGGATTCTTCTTGTAAATGTAACATATAATTATAGTGTATCTGCAACCTCATGAATGCACTTTAAGGATAAATTGTTAGTTACAGAATTATTCATTATTATGAGGAATTATAATTTTGTCAATAAAATATTTCGATGGATTGTATATCAAATTATTTCAATGTTCGCAAGATATATCAACAATTCAATCGATTCACTAATTATTTATACATATATCATTGTTATTTAAGTAGTTGAAGTCGATCAACATGTACTTATTTGCATTTGCATTTCAAATTATCGTCTCTATGGCATTGTCTTTTTTTTTCAAAATTGCATGATTTGTCAGAGCAAGAAATATTAAGCATTTCTTGTATATCTCTGGATGTATAGGTGGTAGAGTTGAAAATACTGATGATTTCAGTGAAATTCCATCATGATCATTGCAGTTTTACTCTTGCAATATATTTTATATTGTATTGCACAGTCAGGAATGAATTAACTACCTATACAATTTGGGTGCATTTCATGAATCAACAAAGTTATACTTTAGTACGCACCTCGATACGAACTGTGTGAATGTATTTCCTGTAGAAATAAGTTCGACAGAAGACTTGAAAGTATTGACAGTG